GAGCCGTGCTCCCCGGGCTCCTCCGTGTGAGAGCCGTGCTCCCCGGGCTCCTCCGTGTGAGAGCCGTGCTCCCCGGGCTCCTCCGTGTGAGAGCCTTGCTCCCTGGGCTCCTCCGTGTGAGAGCCGTGCTCCCCGGGCTCCTCCCGTGTGAGAGCCGTGCTCCCCGGGCTCTGTGACACGCTCTGGCGCCGGGTCCCCACCACGGCCCATCTGCCCCCACACCGCCTTCTGCTGTCGCCAGCGCCTGGCCCTCCTCACAGCCAGGCGGCTCCTCCGACATGGAAGACGGCTGTGCCCCTGGAAGGCGCTGCGCGGTGCCGCCCGTCCACTCGGGCCGCGGGCCCAGCGGAGGCCCCGGCTGAGCGCCCCGCCGTCCCGCAGGGCGACGTACTCACCACCAGGTACCAGGTGGACCTCGGGGACGACTTCAAGGCCATGTACGTGAACCTCACGCTGAGCGGGGAGCCCATCCGGCACCGCTACGACAGCCCCGGCGTCTACCGCGTGTCCGTCAGGGCAGAGAACGCGGCCGGCCACGACGAGGCCGTGATCTTTGTCCAGGTCAACTGTAAGTCCGTCACCCCGAGGAGCCAGCGGGGCCTGGTCTTGGGGCGCACGGGAGCCCCGGGATGACGGGCCGTGGGCGGGGAGGCCGGCACTCACACTGCACACAGTGGTCTGGGCAGGACAGGACTGGGGGGTCGCAGGGGTGGCTTTCGTGAGGGCGATGGGAGCGGTGGTGGTGGTAACAGCAGTGACAGTGTTGGGGAGCATATTGCTGCTGCTGGTGGCGGTGGTGGTGATGGTGGCAGGGGTCGTGTTGGTGGTGGCGATGGTGGTGGCGATGGCGGGGGTCATGGTGGTGGTGGTGGTGGTGATGGTGGTGGTGGTGGTCATGTTGGTGGTGATGATGATGGTGTTGGTGATGATGGTGGTGATGATGATGGTGGTGGTGGTGGTGGTGATGGTGTTGGTGATGATGGTGGTGGTGGTGATGGTGTTGGTGATGATGGTGGTGGTGGTGGTGGTGATGGTGGTGGTGGCGGGGATCGTGTTGGTGGTGGTGGTGATGGTGGTAATGGTCGTATTGGTGGTGGTGGTCGTGTTGGTGGTGGTGGTGGTGGTAATGGTGGCGGGGGTCGTGTTGGTGGTGGTGATGGTGGTGGAGGTGTTGGTGGTGATGATGATGGTGATGGTGGTGGTCATGTTGGTGGTGGTGATGGTGGTGGTTGTGGTAGTGTTGGTGGTGGTGATGATGGTAGTGGTAGTAATGATGGTGGTGGTGATGGTGATGGTGGTCGTGTTGGTGGTGATGGTGGTGGTGGTCATGGTGGTGATGATGATGGTGGTGGTGGTGGTGGTGGTGGTGATGGTGGTGGTGGCGGGGA